TTCAACTATGAATAAAAAATAATGTAGTGGTTTTAGATTTTGAACTCCTCTTTAATTACATGAAATAACTAATTCAGGTGTAAAACTTTATAGATTTGTATTAGTTCTTTTTCTGTTCTTGTTATGTAGTGTCTATCTTAACTTATAATAAGTTTTATTTGGTCCCAGGATCAACATGTAAGTGGCATGGCATCAAGTGTCAGACATGGCAGCTAAATTTAGAGCTCACATCCTTTACTTTCATCATGAAGCAGAGAGTGGGAACTGAAAATGACGGGTGGATGTAAATTATCAAATCCTACCCCCAGTGACGTATTTCCTTAGCAGAACAGCATTTCCTAAACCTTCACAAATGATACCACCAACTGAAAAGGATTTCTTTGACTTCAAGTTTACATGCTTGCTTTCTGTTATATGAACCAATTCACAATGAAAAACATCTCTGTAAACCTTTAAATGTCTCAATACCTGTGTTACAGCAATGCATGTTTACAAATGAATTAGTTTCATCAATAAAATTTTTTGAAGAGTTGTTTTAATTTTAATTATGTGATATCAGTACATGTTTTTTGGGGTTATGTGAATTTGCATGCTAGTTTCTGAAAATGTTAGGCTCTCAGATATTCTTGTAGCAAGAACTAAAAGAAGTTTTCAAAATCAGGTCTTATTCCTAGGGATAAACTTTTCTTAACTCTCCAACCATGTCTCTAGCTGTGAAAATATTTTAAAGCCTATTTATATCATGTTAAAGTCAGGAAATAGGGACAAACTCAAACAAGAGAAAAATGTATTCATGTAAACAACTTGGTACAGATTTTAGATATCACAGTTGTCTTCAGGTTAAAGAAAAAAATCTTATTCATTTTCTTTTAATCATAGCCTTGAAAGAAGTAAATTAGTTATTATGTTTAGTCAAGACTGTTGGGGGAGATCAGTGCATTTTCATTTCTATTTTGAAACATTTGAGAAACATTGGATACCAAAGTGTGATATATGTATGGCAAATTCATTTAGCTAAATTTATTTTTGTGGTCTTTATATTTCTTCTGTGGATTTTGTTCATCTTCCATTGTGTTTCAACTTAGTGATATGTATTTTTTCTGCTGTAATAAATAGAATGGGAAATCTATCATATTACCAGTCTATTGTTTATTTAAATATCAGGCAGTGTATGATCATATTTT